CCAGCCCCAGGCTGAGACTGAGAGCTCTTCAAAGAAAGTACGGCTGCCTGCAGAACATGTAGCCGCTGGTGCTGGGTAGGCTTCCCAGAAGGCCTGTGCAGAGCTGCCGAGTCTTAGCAGCTCACTGTCACCGGGGAGGCCGGCAGTATGGAGCTGGCCTGTCAGAGGAGCCTGCCTGGGAATGCGGCAGGGCTACCCCAGAAGTAGCCACAGGATGGTAAGGCAGTTACCTGAAAGTGGTTGGAGCTGATCTGCAGAGGTGCAGGTGAGCAAATGTGGCCTGAGCTACAGCCAAGCTGCCACAATAGCAGCTTCTGGGGAGAGAGTTCATAGTTTGAAGGTGTGGCTTGAGTTCAGCCTGGGTCTGGGAGTTGCGTGCCACTGGCGCTTGACTTCCTTGCTGAAGAAAGAACCCGAAGGCAGAGTGAGCGCCCCAGGAGCGCGGTCTTCTCTTGTATCGCAGAGTCAGCCCAGCGCCCCCTTTGGACAAAGCAGGTGGCGAAGAAGTGTTAGCGCCATCCCGCTCCCGTGAAAGAGAACGTCAGAGAGGATAGATGTGGATTTAAGAGACCATACCTGGTAACTGGCAAAAGGCGTTATTCAGATTTTTAATGTGAATGGTTAAAGAAATTAAAAAGTGAGAAAAGTCTTTCATCTGTAGTTCTGTATTATTCTCTCAGGTTTAGTTTCCCCGGGAAAGTCTGTATTTCTCCTTGTTTTTACATTGCACATTTTACTTTAAGGTAGTGACAGGTTCACATGTAGTTGTGATAAATACACAAAAACATCCTGTGTACACTTCTCCCAGTTTCCTCCAAGTTACCGTCCCGTGTTCCTACAGCACAGCGGTGCCACCGGGAAACTGTGCAATCTGCTGACTCTTCAGTTTCACCAGCTTCACATGCATCCATCTGTGTGCAGGTATTTAGTGAGTGCAGTTTTGTCAGTGTCAATTTTTATCACTTTCATTGGCATAGATCTGTATAAACAGTACCCTAATCAAAGTAGAGAACACTTCCATCAATGTGAGGATCCCTTGAGCTGCCCTGTAAACACGACCCTGCCTCCAACACCTTGGGAACCACTGATCTCCTCTCCATCATCTCTCTGTGATTTTCTCACTGGAAGAATGTCCTTCAAATGGTATCAAACAGTGTGTAACTTTGGGACTAACTTTTTAAATTCCGCATAACCCCCTTAAGTTGTCTCCAAGTTGTTGCTACATCAATAGTTTGCTCCTGTTTATTAGCAAGTTATACAGTGGTACCTCATTTCGCACACGTGATTCTCTCCACCGTTCTGGTTGCAGGTAGAGTTGAATGAGAACCAAATCAAATTCAATGGATAGATTCAATGGTGACCTTATGGGGAAATTTGATTTGGTTCTTGTCCACTTCGATTTGTGACCAGAATTGTGGTGAGAATTGAGGAAGTGAACTGAGGCACTACTATTTCTTGTTAGGGATGTAACATAACTTGTTCAGTCACTCATGCACTGAAGGATGTATTATTGTTTCCAAGTTCTGACTACTGTGAGTAAAGGTACTGTGAACATTTGTATACATGCTGTTTTGTAAATAAGTTTTTATTTCCTTGGGATAAATTCCTAAGATTGCAATCACTCAGTCATACTTGACTGAGTATGTTTCATTTGCATGTTTCAAATGCATGTTTCACTTCTTTTTACTAAGATATAATTCACGCACCATAAAGTTTATCCTTTTCAAGCGTATGATTTTTAGTATAACCATAAGGTTGTGCAAGTATTGCCATTGTCTAATTTCAGAAAATTTTCATTACCCAAAAAGAAACCCATTAGCAGCCGTTTCCACCTTCCCCTGATCCCTGTTAGTCCCCTGGAAATCATTACTTTTTGCTTCTGTGGATCCTGCTTCTATGGATAGTGTACCTCTATGGACATTTCATATGAATGGAATCATATTATATGTGGCCTTTTATGTCTGAATGCTTTAATATAACTATTTTCGAGGTTCTTAAACATTGTAGCATGTACCAGAATTAATTCCTTTTTTATAGCTAAGTAATATTCCATTGTGTGGATATACCACATTTTGCTTATCCGTTCATTACTTGGTGGATATCAGAGTCGTTCCCATCTTTGGGCTATAGTGAATAATACAACTATGAACACTTTTTTAGAAGTACGTATGTGAAGTTTAAATTTCTCTTGGGTTTGTATGAATGGACTGAAATTGTGTGGTGAGATAGCTTTACCTTTTCCTTTCCAATCCGTGTGCCTTTTATTTATTCTCTGGATTAAGTGACCTGGCTAGAACTTGGAAGGTTGAAAAGAAGTGATGAAGGCAGATATCTTTATGTTCTTCTTGACCTTGGGGGGAAACTTTCAGTCTTTTGCCATTAAGTGTAATGTTAGCTATAAGTTTTCCATAGGTACTTGATAATTGAGGAATTTCCCTTCTACTTCTTGTTTGTTGATTTTTTTTTTTTTCCCCCGGTACTGGGGATCTAAGTCACGACCTCCTGCTTGCCAGGCAGGTGCTTATGCCACTGAGCTACATCCCCAGCCCCAACCACGTGGTTTTTATTCTTTATTCCACTAACATGGTATTACATCGATTGATCCTTGTGCACTGCTGAGGTCAGTCCCATTCAGTCATGCAGTAGAAGCCTTTTTATATGTTGTTGAATTGGGCTCCTTTCCTCGTGTAGTTTCCTGTGTGACTTTATAAGGGATGTGTCTCTGGCATCTCTCGTTGTGGTGTCTTTTTCTGGATTTGATGTCACCGTAATGGCCTCATACAGTGAGTTAGCACGAGTTTCCTCCTGTCCTCTTTCTTTACCTCAGCCCTTTTTAAAAATACTTGCTCAGTTACCTGAGTGGTCTCTGTCAGATCATTAGCTGACCATTAACTAGAGTTTACTCTAAACCTATTCTAAGACCATCCTGGGACCGATTCGTAAGCTGGCTGTTCATGGTCAGCTAATGATAAGACAGAGATTTCCTTCATGCCTTGAAATGCAGTAAGTCCCCAAGTCTTTCTTAGTGTAAAAGGAACCAAGCTGTGCTAATGATGATTCTCCACTGATTGCACATCGGAATTAGCTGAGGAGTTGGGGTGGGGATTCACTCAGTTCAGGGTGATCTTGGGACCACTCCGTACCACTTTCTGCATTGTACCATAGATACATTTAATGTGTTAAAATATACTTTCAAATTACAGTGACATAGTGGGTGCCTATTTTGATTTGGACATTTTAAAATTCTTTTTTATAGAATTTGAGGCAAGCATTTTGTTAAAACAGTTTTAAAAAAACAGTTCTGTATTTTCATATGCTGGCATTCTGGCTTTTGTGTAACAAATGCAAGTGTGTATATTTTTGTATGTATATAGGCGTAGTTATTTACAGTTGTTTAGCACAAAGAATTTTTAAGGTCACCTGAGAAAATAATTTGGTATTCCTGCCTAAAATTAATGTTTCAGGAGTCTTGATTTTTTTAAAAATATGTAACGCATTCATATACACAAAATAAGGCATGAAATTTATCATAGAATGGTAAATTTGTTTAAAACATGTCCTACAGTTATTGAGCAAGGGATTGTTGCCTCAGGTACATAGAAGCCAATAGTGTAGCACTGGGGTTTGCAAAGAAAAGAAAACCTTTATTGTGTAGCCACCCAGCAAGGAGGCCAAGAGCTATAAACTCAAGTCTGCCCCTAGCTGTTAGCAGGGGGGAGTTTGGAAGAAGCAGGAAGGGAGAGCTTGCTCTCCCCTCCGGTAACTCTAACTCCAGGGTAGTCCTGTTCTCTGGGAGGGATCTTGAGCTTATGACATCACTGACCAGAGGACCTGCCTTCTTGCTCGAGTCCATTCTTGAAAAGCCAGTTCCAAACCCTGAGAATCATGAAACCTCTGTGAAAGACCTTGAGGTTTTTCCTGGAAACAAGTTAAAAAAAGAATACATCTCAGTGTTTCTAGGCCTTAGCTGATGAACCCAGCAGGTTAGTGTCTTCCTCGAAATTTAATCCAGCATAGAATAATCTTCATGACATTATTAATTGTCTGTTTTTCTTATTTTGTCTGACATTTTTTTTAAATGTAGAAGAAAATGTCTTAAATTCTATTTAAAAAATACTTCCTAAGGATTTATTTTAAAATATAAATAAAATGATAGGTTTGAAAATAAAGTTCACTAAAATCAGTGATATAAGTTTGTTTCTTTAAACATCATCACGGTGCGACCTCCGAAGTGGCCGTGTCCTTCCGCGCTGGCCGGCTGGTTATGGATGACTACTTGGAGTCTCCACCAGAGAGCGCTAAAGACACTTCATTGGGCACGGGGGAAAATGCCTCGCCTGGGCTGGTCAGCCTGGCAGTATTTTTATCTTTAAAGAGAAGACTTTGTCCTCTTGTTCCCAAAGTTCCTTTTGCTGGGAAATAAATTATACCTCCTGAAACCTGAGTGTTTCTACAGGTACTTTCAATGATAAATGTTTACTCTCTCCATTGTTGGTTTTCAGTAAGTGAACCAGCTAGGAATACCTTTATTTTATGAAGTTATCCTTTAGGAGCTAAAGTTTCGTCTACCTTTACACAACAAGTGTTCTTTTCTTTACACACTCGTTTATGTGTGAAAAACCTGAACAATTCAAAATGAACTGGAAAAGTTAGCCATTTTTAATGAGCTTGAAAAGCACCTCATAATTTATTATACATGCTTTTATTTTACAATAGCAACTAATTCAGTAGATTTAATATTTGCGATTCTAGCATAAAGCATAGCTCTCAAGTAGTATGAAGTAGCTGTGAGAACCGTGTATTTCGGGTTGCCACACTGCCGTAGGGTGTAAAAGAAAGTGCTGTGTCATTTATGTTGGATAAATTTCAAAATGAGTACGGTTTTTCACCAACTGATTATCTGGCAAAAGTAGTGAGTGATAAATAACACGTGTGGGTTTGTTTTTCTTTTCTTTTTTTTGTAATTTTTTCCTCTTTATTCTCCCCTTCCCTGTATACAGATACCTTCATTCAAATAACATAGTTGTAGTTCCGGAAGGTAAGCACACTTTTAATTTAATTTTTAAATTTTTGGTCAACATAGTTTAAGCTTTGCTTTGTAAATAGAATATACATTGTCTCTTAAATCCATTTTGGTTAGATGCATCAGGGAATTTTAATTATAAAGCTCTTTTAATGTATTTTATTTAAAAATGTATTCCCCTCCTCCCATAACCCACAACTATTCTCTTGGCATGCACCTGTAATCCTAGCACTCAGGAAGTTGAGCTAGTAGTGTCACAAATTCGATGGCAACCTGGACTACACAGCAAGTTTAGGGCCAGCCTGTACTACCTAGTGAGACTTTGTCTCAAAACAAACAAACAAAAACACAAACACACAAAATTTCCCCCTAATAAGTGCAGTTAAGAATTGTGATCAAATAAATAATATAGTCAAAATGGACATGATGGTTAGGAAAATTATGATATAAATTGTTAAGCAAATAATAAAACAAGCCAAAATAAGTTCTAAACTTAACAAATCCAGTTAAGAATTTTGGTTACATAAAAAAAGACATTGTGTAATACTTACTCAATTTTTTATTTTTTCGAGCAATTTTTATACTGTTTTAACATTTTCATATGTTCCTTCCCTTGCTTTTTTTTGACTTACTGGGGATTGAGCCTGGGGACTTCACACTGAGCTACACCCCCAAATCTTTTTTCTTTTTTAATTTAATCTTGAGAAAGGGTCTCAGTTGCTAAATTGATCTTGAATTTGCATTCCTTCTGCCTCAGCCTCTGGAGTAGCTGGGATTACTGGTGGTATACACCTCAGTGCCTGACTTTTTGTTCTGTTTTAAGCTATTATATTTTATGTCAAGGTAGAAGTATTTGTCAGTTTCATAAAACTTAGTTTGAGCTTTCTCTTGTGAGCAACTGAAACTGCATTTTTCTTATTTCATGAAAAAATAAAGCAAAATCTCATAACAAATCAATAAGAGAATAACAGTAGTTATTATACGGTTTTATTATTTTCAAAGTTGTTCCTCAGGGTATAAGACATAGACGAAAAAGATTCTTACAAAGAAGAAAGACACTAGCACAGAAGTTTCTTTTCAGGGAGACAAGAATATTAAGTATTAAAATACTTCAGGTTGGAATACTTACTTGCATTAAAGATTTGGTGTTCACACGAATAAAACTCACTTTGCCTTTTCCCTTCCCTTCTCTTTGAAGCTATCGGGTCCCTTGTGAAACTCCAGTGTCTGGATCTCAGTGACAATGCCTTAGAAATTGTTTGCCCAGAAATTGGTCGTCTGAGAGCTTTACGTCATCTTCGATTAGCTAACAACCAGCTGCAATTCCTACCTCCAGGTAATCATCACCTACGGCACACCTGTGCCTCCGGTGGGTGTTTTTATTCCTGTGTCTCACTGTGTAGCTGGGCGTTAGGCTATGGATATAAATGTATTTGCTGAAGAAAGGAAGGAACGTGGGCAAATGTGATAAAAGCGTAAGTTGACATTAGTATGTTAGGTAGAGCTCCAATCACTGCCAGTGTGCATTGCGTCCAGTGCCCCTTCTACTTGCTTCCTTGGCAAGATGTCTGTGCAAAGAGCTACTTCAGTTCTGGATTTTATATATGAGAATTTAGATGAGCTTTGTATGATAAAATATTTTATATCCCAAAGACAATTATGCAGTGATTTTTTTTGTCATTCTCTGGTGAGGTTACTGATGTGCATTAACTTTTTCTTTTGGTACCGGAATCGAACTTAGGACCTTGCGCTTGCCAGGCAAACGCTTATAACCCTGAGCTATACCACTGGCCCTGATGTGTATTAACTTTGACATAATAAGAAATCATGCTAGAATTTAGCAGCATGCTTTGACTTGAATAGAATTGGCCCTTCTGCCTGCTAAACATATGTCTGTAGACAGTACTAAAGTCCTGCATTCTCTGATAGCACTTTGATTTTTGGGGGGAGGCCCTTCTTAAACCTTCCTTTGAACATCCACATATTTTCAGATTCCACTATACATCATTTTCCATGTTAAAAACATGAAGTCTGATTAAAAACATTTAAAAACTTTGTGCTTCGGGTGTTACATGAAAGTTTCTGTATATTCAAGAATGACTATGGCTGGGCTTATTTTTACTTACTCGTTTTGGAACACCAACCAGCCTTCTAGTCTACCCAAGTGAAACATGTGACTCAAAGTTACATTTTGCTTCCTGCCAGACCTTGAACATTATGTGATGTTAAAAACTATGCATGTTAAATCTCTGAATGAAAAATTGGTGGCATTTCTTTGTTATTATTTATTTATTTATTCATTCATTCATTCATTGTATAACTGCAGATTGAACCCGGAGCCTTCCACTGAGCTACATCCCCAGTCCTTTTTAATTTTTTTTTATTTTAAAATAGGGTTTTACTGAATTACTGAGTTATCCAAGCTGAGCTCAACTTGGGATCGTCCTGCCTTAGCCTCCTAGAATGCCGGGATTACAGGCATGTGCCACCATGGCTAGGTCTTTTTGATTTAAAAAATACTTACTCCAAAGTTTCTTCAAGTACAGAAATTTCTAAATGAAAACATAGTAACTGAGTAATTTTTAGGTTTTTTAATAGAGATCTTAATATACAGTTTCAGTACTGCTTACAAAAATGTTATTAGGGCAGTAGTGACTTTGCTTTAAAAATAATATGTAACTTCATATAATGAGCTGTCTTACTGTTCTAGCTATAGTTAATATGAAAAATTTCAGTTAATATAGGATATGGGCTTTCCTTTAGAGTTTATTATAGTAATCAGGATCACTGGTGTTTCATCATTCTAGCTTTCATCAAATTCATGCATTCAGATATCCAGAAAATTAGATTCTTTTGAAGGTTGCCTAGAAAATGTATCTGCAAAGATAATGCTTTAACTTTCCATGTAAGAAATTTATATAAGAAATATGATACAGCACAATCAAAATGCATGGTGTAATGCTGTATTTGTAAACCTTTTAAAATATACACTTAAAGAATTTATAAAAATACAATTCTCTTCTGTGTGTTGTGTTATTCTGTCATTTCCTGTAATGTAAGACCATTTTATGGTGGAATATGATTATTTCCTGCCATTATGTTCTCAAAAGTTAAAGATGTACTTTCCATATCAATGTCCACCTCCTAACCGCTAGTGAAGGGTATTTATTTCCTGATTACCGCCGTGTAACTTTTGATTTATATCTCACCTGTTATACAAGAGAGTTGAGATAAACATCTTCAAATGTTTTCCTAGCTTTGTTTCTGTTGTCTGTTTGTTTTTGCTTGTTTTAAGTGAAATTCTGTTCCGTAACAGTTATATATTTTGAATAGGAACTTTTGCTTGAGCCATGTGTGGGAGTTTTCCTTCCTGGGCCACTGCAGGTAGCAGTGGACCAGGCTCTACTGCTTATTCGGCTGACTTTAGACATCTTATTACGAGGTCATTTCAAATAGTAGGACTTGGATGGATAAGGGTCTAGTATACATTCTCTAAATGCTCAACTCGAATGGTGTCTATCCTAACTATGGGAATAAAGGTGCTGCAGCAAGTACTCATGAGTACTTGCTGGCTGACAGCTATGGACACTAGCTGATATCTGATTGGTGGCCCCGCTATGTAGTCCATGCTATTATGTAGACTTCTTTCATGTTACATTCCCTCAAAAAGTTTACCATTTAGCCATGGTTACTTGTTGTGTTTAGAAAACCTTTGAGTATTATTTCACATCCACTACTTAAAATTTGAAAAGTGTTTGAAACATGTGAAAAAATCTAGATGGTTTTAGAGAGTTTTTAAATCAGGATGTAAGAATGGAGCATAGAGCTTTCATGACTCCGAAATTGTGTACACAGTTAGTGAGTTAGCTTTCATGTCCATATTGCTGTGAGGAGGTTCAATATTCTCGTCAGTGTCTGAAATAGATCCATGATTCATATCATTAATACCTAGTGAGACCTGGTGTGATTGCACATGCCTGAAAACCCACCGCTTAAGAAGCTGAGACAGAAGGATTGCCATGAGTTTGAGGTCAGCCTGGGCTACGTAATGAGTTCAAGGGTCGCCTGAACTACGTAGCAAGACTCTTGTCTCAAAACAACAACAAACACCAGGTGTGGTGGTACACACCTGTAATCCCAGCACTCGGGAGGCTGAGGCAGGAGGATCATTGCAAGTTCAAGACCACTTTGGGCTACAAAGCAAGCTCAAGGTTACAAATAGTAGGAAATCCAGTGTGAGTAATAGCATCATGTCTCTATGTGAACTGGTTCCTTCTGTCTGTTACCTGTTCTTTGGCTTTTTATAATATGCTTTGTATCCTTTCTATTAGATATTTTTTCCATGTGAGCATAAGCAGTATTTTGAAAGTACAGAAAATACCATAAAGTAGTGAGAGGATGCAGGAAGACCATAGGGAAACACTTCTGTAATTTCTGTCACCCTGGATTACTATAACTTGTTGCACATAAACGTCACCATGTTGTGTAGGCACTGTGTCTGGCTTCTTTCACTGAAAATAATGGCTTTTGAGATGCATCCAAGCTTTCATGTGCATCAGTTTATTCTTTTTTATTGCAAAGCACTATTCCATTCCATGGATATACAATTTATTATTTTTCTCTTGTTGGATGTGCTTTTTTCTAGCTTTGAATTATGAATACTCATATAAACATTTTTTGTATAAAGGTTTTTGTGGATATATATTTTTATTTCATTTGAGAAAATTCCTCAGAGTGAAAAATGTTGCTTTATAGGGTAGATGTATATTTAAGTATGTGGCAAATTGCTGAAAGATTTTCAGGGTGGTTATACTGTTCACGTTCTTCTCCCAGCAGCATATGAGAGGTCCACTTACTTGACATCCTTGTCAACACTTAGTATTGTCTGTTTTTTATGTGTGTATTTTTTATTTTATTTGTGTATTTAATGGGTATGGACTCATATTGCTATGCTTAGTGTTCTCTTTCCATTTTTATTTCCTTTATTGGTTTTTCTCTAGAGCTCTCAATTCACACCCTTAATTTACTACACTTAAAATATTGTACCACTTCATATAAGTGATAAGAACCTTATAAGAATCAGCTTCCACTTACCGTCCTTCCTTTGTGCTATATTATGTGTTTCTCTTCTGTGTATATTGTAACATATATATGCTTGCATATCTGGTCTTCATTCTTGCCTTCTCTAAATCTACTTTCCATCTTTTTCTATTTCTCTGTAACCTGAAGTGCTTCCATCAGTATTTCTTGTAGTTCAGGTCTTCTGATAGTAAACTATCTCAGTTTTTCTTATTGCAATCATGTCTTTACTTCACCAGTTTTTGAGAAAGATTTTCTCTAGAAATAGAATTCTGGGTTGATAAAGTTTTTTCCTTTTAGCACATTGAAGATGACTTTCCATTGTTTCTTAACTTCCACTGTTTCTGATGAAATGTCATTTGTCATTTGTATTATTGTTATTTGTATTATAGTATGTCTTTTTTTCTATGACTGCATTAAGATTTCTCATGTTGTCTTTATTTTGTTTTGTTTTTTGTTTTTTTGGTGCTGGGAATCAAACTCACGACCTCATGCTTGCCAAGCAGGCACTGTCCCACTGAGCTGTATCCCCAGCCCTCTCATGTTATCTTTAGTATAGGTAGTTTGCCTAAGATGTGTTTGAACGTAGGATTTTTTTCATGTCCTTCTTAGTGTTTTCTTGTTTCCCAAGTTGGAAAGCTTTCTGTCACTCTTTCTTTAAATATTTTTCTGCCCCAAGTTTCCTTTTCTCTGTTTTCTTTTTTCTCTAACCATGTTAGATCATTTGATGTTATTCTATAGGTCACTAAAACTTTGTTCTTATCTTTTTAATCTTTTTTTCTGGATCTAAAAATTAGGTATCTATTGATCTATCTTCTGTTCTTTCTTTTGTGCTTTTGAATGTGCTATTTATTATGTCCCTTTGTCTTAGTCCATTTAGATTGCTATTTTAAAAACAACCCAAAGAATAGGCAGCTTATAAACAACAGAAATTTATTTATCACAGTTTCAGAGGTTAAAAAGTCCAGGATCAAAGTACCAGCAGATTTGGTGTTTGGTGGAATCTGTGTATTCTGGTGCATAGGTTGCTTCTCAGTGTCCTCACGTGGTGGAAGGTGTGAGGGGGTCTCTCTGAAGCTTATTTCGTAAATATACTAATTTCATTCATGGAGACTCCACCTTTATGGTCTAAGTACCTCCTAAAGACCCCACTTCCTAATACTGTTACATTGATAATTAGGTTTTACCACATGAATTTGGAAGATACTAACATTTCAGCCATGGCACCTTGTTACCTACTTGCAGCCCTGTACTCTT